TACCTGCTCTATCCCATGCATAATCTTATAAACCTCGATCATGTCACCCCTCAGCCGTCGTTTCTCCAAGCTAAAGAGCCCCAAGCGCTTTAACCTATCCTCATAGGGAAAGTGTTCCAACCCTTTTATCATTCGAGTTGCCCTTTTCTGCAGGGGAGGGGATTAAGAGAAACACTGCATGTCCAAGGTTAATATTGGTGGGAAATGCCTTCAAACTGCAGCTGACTTACGGTGACCCCGTGGTGTTTTCAAGACAAGGGAAGAGCAGAGGTAGTTTGCCACTGCCTGCGTAGCAACCCTGGCCTTCCTTGGAGGTCTCCCATCCAAGTACTAACCAGAGCCGACCCTGCTTAGCTTCAGAGATCTAATGAGATCGGGCTCGCCTGGGCCACCCAGGTCAGTACCATCAAGTTGCAGCCGACTTAGGGTGACCCCGTAGGGTTTTCAAGGCAAGAGAAGAAGTGGTTAGTTTTTGCCTGCCTCTGTGTAGATACCCTGGACTTCCGTGGTGGTCACCCATCCAAGTACTAACCAGGGCCAGCCCTGCTTAGCTTCTGAGATCATAGACAGCTTGAAGAGAGGACTGGATAAACATAAGGAGCAGAGGTCCATCAGTGGCTATTAGCCACAAGGTATAGATGGAACACTCTGTCTGGGGCAGGGATGCTCTGTCTTCTTGCCAGTTTGGAGAGCCAGTTTGGTGTAGTGGTTAAGTGTGCGGACTCTAATCTGGGAGAACCGGGTTTGATTTCCCACTCCTCCACTTGCACCTGGCTGGTGTGACCTTGGGTCAGTCACAAGCTCTGGCACAGCTGTCCTTGAAAAAGAGCAGTTTGTGTCAGAGCTCTCTCAGCCCCACCCACCTCACAGGGTGTCTGTTGTGGGGAGGGGAAGGGAAAGGAGTTTGTAAGCCCCTCTGAGACTCCCAGTGAAGGGCGGGGTATAAATCCAATCTCCTCCTCCTCCTCCTCCTCGTCCTTAAGCTGACTGGTTTACTGAAGGCCACTGAGTGAGTTCATATCAGACATGAGATTTGAATTGGGGGTTTCGGCATTAATCGCTTAGCCTCTCTTAGCTACTGTGCTAGCATGGCAAAAGCCTTCGGGTCAGGTGTGGCAGCACCTGTCACCCTTGCAGGTAGAGATCGGGACTGAGGGTGAACTCTTAGTAACCGTTATGAAAACTCTCCACACAGCAGCACTCGGGAGCAAGAATGGAAGCTCTTTGGCAATATGAACACATGAAGCTGCCGTACACTGACTCAGACCACTGGCCAATATTCCCTCTAAGCTGTGGAGTCTTGTGAGCAAAAATTCTACTTTGTGAGCTATTGGCATTAAAGTTGTGAGCAAGAGATTTGGCTGCTGGATAAACTAGTTTGCTCTGGAGCCATCCTTCCTGAGCGAAGACGAAAATGTGTGAGCCAGAGGCTGAAAAACTGTGAGCTAGCTCACACTAACTCAGCTTAGAGGGAACACTGCCACTGTCCCACCAAAATCAGTATTGCGTATTCAGACTGGCAGCATTTCACCTGCTGCCTGATCCTTTTACCTGGAGATGCCAGAGTTTGAATCTGGGACCTTCTTTGTGCAAAGCTGTTGGGAAAAATCAGCAGAGCACTAAAATGCACAGCAGAATAAAAGCAGCACATAGTCATGTGTGTCTGAGTAAAAAGAAAATCTTTGCTAAGAGACAAGAGGGGGAAGAGAAGGGTACATTGGAATAGAAAGTAACAGTTTGGTGGAGAGCCAGTTTGGTGTCGTGGTTAAGTGTGCGGACTCTAATCTGAGAGAGCCGGGTTTGATTCCCCACTCCTCCACTTGCACCTGGCTGGATGACCTTGGGCAAGCAACAGTTCTGTCAGAGCTGTCCTTGAAAGAGCAGTTTCTGTCAAGAGCTCTCTTAGCCCCACCGACCTCACAGGGTGTCTGTTGTGGGAAGGGAAAGGAGATTGTAAGCCACTCTGAGACGCCGAGTGAAGGGCAGGGTATAAATCTAATCTCCTCCTCCTCCTCCTCCTTCACATAAACACACTAACTTGCTTCTGCTAATTGAAACACCATCTTGGCTAAAACCCTTCTGGGTCTCTTGAACAAAGAAAACAAAGCTTCCCCAAAACTGGTGACCAATGCTCCCTCTAAGCCATGGAGCCTTGTGAGCAAAAATTCTACTCTGTGAGCTCCTGCCATTAAAGTTGTGAGCAAGCGATTGGGCTGCTGCGTAAATTAGTTGGCTCCGGAGCCCTCCTTCCTGAGCGAAGGCAAAAATCTGTGAGCCGGAGGCTAAAAAACCGTGCGCTAGCTCACATCAACTCGGCTTAGAGGCAACACTGCGGGTGACCAAAAGCAAGCAATGACCCAAAAAAACCTGTTAAACCAATAGAGAAACTTAGATCCCCTTACTTAGAATACTACCTCCTACTTTTCTAGCAGGAACGTCTACAAGATATCTAATAGGCTCT